AAAAGTGTTTTAAAAGTGGAGGCAAAATTAGATAAATCGGTGTATACTTGGGCGCAAAGTAGACAATTCAACAAAGTTTGAAACATAGAGCGACATAAAGGAGAAATTCTGCATTATTTTCCTCAGACAGACATTTTGACGCGTTTTCCCACTATTTTCCTTTTATATTCAAACGCATATCCCCATTTATTTCCTCTTTATTTATTGATTGGGGCAGTATACTGTACAGTACTAGAGCCTCTTCTCTTCTTGATCTACATAAACGATCTTCCTCAACAGGTAACGTCAGACTTATTACTTTTTGCCGACAACGTGAAACTTTGGAGAGAGATACGCAGCCAAGACGATACACAGGCACTTCAGGAGGATCTGACTCGACTTCAAAGTTGGGCAGACGATAACGGACTTACCTTTAACACTTCAAAGTGTAAAGTAGTCCATCTGCGACATGTCGCAAACTACAGTTACAACTTAGGAAACTCCTCTCTAGTAGTATCCCAAGTCGAAAAAGATTTAGGAGTCCTGGTGCCCCATGACTTAAAGTCTTACGCTAACTGTGACAAAAATGACTTCCGAGCAAACCTTGCACTGGTAACGTTGAAGCGCATTTTTGGCCAGTTTGACGGAAGAACTTTCCACACAATCTTCAATAGTTTCATCCGTCCCCATTTAGAGTACGGAAACATAGTACTCCCCCCTCACTCCAAAAGGACAAGGTCACTTTGGAGCGTATCCAACGGCGAGCCACGAAATCAGTTGAAGTACTCAAATCTAAGCCTTACGAAGAACGCCTCCGTTCACTAGACCTTTACCCACTAGAATATAGGCGTCTTAGAGGTGATTTATTAATGGCTTATAGTATTCTTAACACTTCTGGACATCCTCTTAAACACCTACTTAAGCTTAGTTCGAATAATAACCTAAGGGGTAACACCCAGAAACTGGAAACACAACATAGCAAGACGGAATGTAGACACAACTTCTACTCCTTAAGAGTTGTCAAAAGCTGGAGTTCGCTGCCGGCCGAGCTAGTCCAAGCGACTTCTCAGGAGTCCTTCAAGAGGCAACTTGACCTATTCTTAAGAACCAAGGACAGCATCACACTATGATTTACCAATTTCTTTTCCTCTTTTATTGTTAACATACCTAGGTTCCTGCCTGGAGGATTTGGTGATCCCCTGCTACTAGACACGGAAGCCTGTTAAGCGAAAGCTTCTTCTATTCCGTCCACAACCATTTGAACCATTTGAACTAGTTTCAAGAATTTGGGGTGTAATTCAGCACAAAACGGATAGAAGAAAACTTCAAACCATAGGCAAAATAACTCCAGTTTAAGTGAATCAAGTATGCTTTTTAGGCAATAAATTCAATTCCGCAAAGTTATTTCACAACATGTACGTAGCCACTGTGCATTGCAGAAACACGCGGTCACTTGAAAATGTCTAGTCTGACTGTCCTGGTGAGATAAATGTAACTATTATAGCTGTCCCTTAGATTAAGAAACATGTGCCACTAATAAAGTTCCGCAGTCAGTTGAAAAACTCCATTAACATGTAATTTGTACGACTAACATATGTTCTCTTCAAGTTCGAGAAATTCTGGGGATTCACAAACTCACATCAACTCAACTTTTGTTGTGAAGTCATCAGTGCCTCCAGAGTTGGCAGTAGAAGCCTCTCTTATTAACCCGAAGTTTCGGAGGAAAAGGATAACGGATGAAGAAGTTGCTTTTTATGAGGTAGCACAATTACGTTAATATTATTTCCTAGAGAGGCTTTCTCGCTGAATAATCAAATGATGTAGCATAATTGAAGTATGTAGTGTATTGTGATATAAAAAGTAATACAACGATTTCTGAAACTCTTGAAAGTTGTTTGTGTCTTCATCACGCATCGAAAAATCATGGTCATTCATAGTTATGTAGCTAAGTGTCGTAAATAAGCTTCTTTCCTTGCGATTTCTGGAATATCATCTGAGATCGGAAGTACGTGTAGATTATGACCGGCTGGCGGAACGCGTGTCTAATAAATGAACTGTTACCTGATTTAGTTTCACATAGCTATAGCTGTGTGCTGATTTATTATCTGTATACACAATTTCGTTCACTTTACAAATCAATCTCTAATTCTATTCTTGACCCAATATTTTGATAGCTTTTGCCTTTCATTCATTCACCATCTGAGAAGTAGTTAGTCGGTCATTTTTGTTTGGAAGAATGAGCTACTATAATTTTACAAATCTTTTTGAAATGTTGGCATTCAACGTAGCTATCTTCTACCATTACTATTCAATGAGGCGATTTCCCACATTGTTTTCAATTGCATGAAGTCCATATTCACTACACTAAAGTGACTGTTTATCATTTTGTCTACCTTGGTGTTTTGTCAACCCGATATCTGACTTGTTTGTGCATTCGTCATTTCTCGATACGTGAATGTGATGTTTTCTTAAGGACAGACATCTTCCGAGCTGCTACTTGTATGATTGGTTGGTGTTGAGATGTGTAAGTGAACCTTGGTCTTTGTGAATCGATGGGATTTTTTTCTAGTAAGGCACTTATCAGAAGTTTTTCAACGATTTCTAAGACGAGCTCTAAATCCTGTCGTTAGTTCGACAGGTGCGCCACTCATTCAAGGCATTTATAGTTGCGTTGAATAAGTCACATTATGTCTTCACACTTAGGTCACACACTGCTACCTGTTTTTATTCTCAATTCTCAACCATGTCTGAGTTGTAAAAACCAAGTTGTGCTTAGTAAATATGCTAACGGCCATTGAGTTCCTGCGTTACCTGATAGGCTATCCTGACGTCACTGCGCATTCATCTAATTAGATAGGCAATATCACACAAGATACTAAGATAACTAAATGCAGAAGCGTTTTTAGATGACAGGAGTATACCGACCTTTGGCGGATCAAACAAATTAGCAAGTCCTAAACGTACGGCCTGTCGTTACTATGTTGTTTTATACTGAGTACAGCTATTTACTTTTTTGTGAGCTACCATTGTTAGAGCTTTTTACTTTGAGAGCTAGTTACCATGTTTGTCTCTATGCTGTATCAGCTCACTTTGATCATGTTACATTGTGTTAGTGTTAAGCAAAATAATGAAGCTTCCCACGCTGTGGATGAATTATACAGCTGTCACATTACAATTACTAAGCATTGACGCTGTCGACCATTGTCAACACTTCCATTTATTCATTTCGCATTTTGGCGTGCAATTTACGGACAGCTCTTGAGAGCTTCTCAGCCCAATGTACTTCACCCCAAAGTATCCAAACCGTTGCTTGTCGAATGAGTCGGCATCACTCGCCTGTTTTTCTCTGAGCCACCGAATTCGATATCGTTCACCTATAAGAAGTATATCTGAGACCCTTTGTTTTAAGTAACTACCTCGATATTGTTGTCTTAACTTTTTCTCCTAATTGTGATGTTCCCATTATTGTAAACTAAATTCGGAAATAGTTTTTCAAGGGTGAGGACGGTTTATCGCTTTTCTCCGCAGTAAAAGAAATAATTCCTGGACATTGAAGTATTCGCAAATGATGGTTATCTGTCTCATAAATTATGACGGGGAAGTGCTTAGTTGCAAATATAAGCTGACGAACTCGTTGAAATCATAAAGCGACCAGTGCTTAACTACCATTAAAAACCTGGAAGCATTGGACGGTCGTTTCGCCCTAGTAGGTGGCACCTCAGCAGTGCATATCCATGATACCACCCGTAGGAATCACAAACAAGATCTCTGCTCTCATGTGCGAACGCTTAACCTTTAGACCGCTCTTCCGGCACCTAACTTCAGTCACTCCGCGATATTGCGCGACCATTCATTGTCTTCGGTGGGTAATTATCCCACGACACTAGTCCCAGCTTCACACTAGAACCCCGAAGATCGCCTCTCTAAGCTACTCACTACTGACCACATGATAATTTTCACTTGGTAATTCTAATAACGCTCAATAATCACAACTTTGTACTGATAAATAACGAATTCGGTCTAGGCTTGTAAAAATCATGATATTGCAGTAAAGCTAGGTGAAGTGAAATGCTCATGTGTCTCAAAGTAAGCACGGGTTCAGGTAATCTAATTTACAAGAGCTCAGACTCTTTAGAAGTCCTGTGCTTAATTTGAAGGTATATAAAGAAAAATTGGGAAAGCTATCGAGTTCCACCGGTCCGAATATTTATCCTGTCGCCGGCCAGCGTCAACCGAGAAGCTTAATGAGCAATCACAACAACCTCCTGGAGGTTCCCCTGGATACTGAGTTATATCGAGGCTTATGGGAAGCTATGAACCAGGACTGTCGTGCTTCTTTCTTTACGCTTGGTTTTGTCATAAGTTGGGTGAATGAGGTGTCTATTTGTATAGCTATACAACAGCCTATTTCACACCCATAAACAACCAACTAAGAGTAAATGATCACGGCTGCCTGATGAAGTTACTTGTGAAATATAATGTTTCGGACACCTTAGGCGACTGTTCAACTTCCTCAGGATTCTTTCCTGTCCTTTGAAGTGCTAGGGCAGTTAAGACACGCAAACCATGCTTTACCACCAAGTGCTTTGAGGTGCACCTTGCTTTGTTTTCGACATAATTCCACATAATCACTGACTACCAATCTGACTTAATGCTCGGACCACAGTATGACCATGCGAGATATTACCATTCACAGGAGTATTTCTAACTGCTTATTCCACAAGTTCATATGATCTGAGATGACATCCGTTGATTATATGCACATCTTTTATTGGAAGGAGGCAACTGCTAGTAGCTCATTATGTGTGGAGTGAGGTCTGGCATTTCGATCATAACTTTCGTCGTATCTGTGTGTAAAGTGCAAAGTAGATCTATCATCCATATTCACAAACGTGTTGAGTCCATCCTTTAGTAACTTAATAAACTCTTCATTGGTTATGAGGATGCTTCCTTGAGTTTTTTTGACACAACTTGTTCGACTACAAGCAGCTTTGTATTTATTAAAAAGCAAATATATGGAATTATATTTTCCCTAAAAGGTATCTGATTTGTCGATCAAGATCAACAATTAAAGAATCACTATTTTCGTAAACACCAGTATTTAGTAGACCGTCACGTTCTTCAATCAGCCGAGTAATTTGTGCTTCGATTTTCTCATCCACCACAGACTTTACATCAGAAACGTTTATTTCAGTAGTCATTTCTTCATTCATTTTGGATCTAAAAACCAAAACAATATATAGCTACTGTAGTAAAGCCACATCTGGAAGTAAATTTTGAGAAATTATTCAGTTAGTTTAAAAAAGTCTAATTTGTTAGGTTGGTGCACCTATAAAAGGAAGATAATATGTTGAGTGTCGGTCAAGAAAAATAGCAGCGGGAAATGCGATGTAGTTCGCATTTTTTCAAAAAAAGCAATCACTTAGAACGAGAGTAAACAGAATTTATGCACTTTTAAAAAACCAAACGGTAAACTCCTGAACCTTGGTAATAAACCTTAATGTTGCGTATAACTATTACACTTCTTCTTCTTTACACATATAAGTAACTAGAAGTACTGGAGTGTTAATATTGCTTTGAGAATCTGTTTCCATTTAATCACCTTGTCTTGTGGATGTATTGTAAACCATGACCAATAACAGAACGACTCCATCCAAGCTTATGTATCAATACATTCAGTGCTTAATCCTACCTCAAGATATTGCTCAAAATTTTCAAATCGTCACTCATTTCAGTATATTCGTGAAAGTATTTATCTGTATCTTGTCAATCAACTCTACAAATATTTGCTGTCCATTTATTGTGTATTAATCATCCGGATCCGTACGAAACATAGAAGCAAGGGATTAAAATAAAATAACTCCTGTTGAAAAATTTGTTTGGCTAATATTGAACAACTGACTGCAGTTGTACACCAATTTATTTTTTTTACGTCCAAATTCTAACGCATTTAGACGAATAAATGATTGTGAGAATAATATATTTTACAGTTCTTATTTTGCTCCACGTTGATACTAATAACCCCTCTGTTTAACGTCAAACATTAAACATACGTATTAATGATTTACGTCCTATCGTTCAATGTTTGATGGTTGTTACGCTGTAAGCGATTACTTAGTAGTACAACTTCATAACTGCAAACAATGTGAGTGTATGTATACGAACTTTCAGTCCTCTGGAAAAAACATTGAAATTATCGCAATTGTCCTAGCTCTGGTCTAATGGCGCTTGAGTTCACTAGATGTTACAAAAAGCTGAAAATCACCGGAAAGCATATTCAGCATAGGAAATATATGTACATGTATGATTTGAGAAGGAAAAATATAAACCGAGAAAGTTATCTGTAGTGCAAAAGCCTCATAATCAACAAAACTGAAGCGTCAACTCTAAGAAGATGGCTAAATAACTGGTGAGTTTAGTCGCGAATAAGTTACAATATTTTCAGAATAATAGTTAGTGAGGTAGAGCGCATTAGATAAAACTGGGCATCATCTACTGACATATTAAGAAACAATTCAAGATAGTCTTAGCGTCGAGGGTTTCCTCTTCGGTTATATCATTTGGTATAGCTTAACGGTTATTTATTGTGCTTGGTAATCAATCCAGTGACGATAATCTTGACTGTGTTACTTTATCTTTAATTTTTATACTTATTAAATACGATTGTACAGTTTTAGCAAATGCTATGATCGAAGGAAAAAATCTCTTCGCTGAAATTGCCTTAAGTTCTTCAATTTATCTGTTTAAAGTGGTACATTTAAAACTTATTTTCTATTAGTCTATAAATTACATTAAAATTCTTCTAAAAGCAGGGGACACTCATGTCGTGCTACGTGAGCCGACTTGATTAATAGACATTCCAAATATTCACTTACCGTTCCAAGTCTGTCGCTTCTTTTAAATCTTGGCTAGTTGGTTGTTTTTCATCAACATTTAAATAGTAAGACTTTAGTTGTTCAAGTTCTGCTTCTTTTTGTGCCAGTGAAATTCGAGTAGCTTCATCTGCTTCTTGTTTTACCTTGGCTAGTTCATGCAGAGATTTCGTCCATAACTGACGGTATCTTGCTCGACCACGTTCTACTTCAACTAAACGGCATTCTGTTTCGGATAGTGTAGCCCGAGCAACTGCTAATTCTGCAGTCAGTCGGGCTACTTCATTGTTTATTGAAGGTGTTTCGTTGGACGCTTTGTTATCTACCGACTTTTTCAATCTGCAGTTTATTTCATTTCTTAAACTGTTATTCTCTTCCTCCAGAGAAGCATACTTACTTCGCCATTCAACTATCTGTAAATGAGATAGAAATACAATATTTATAATTATATAGAGTATATCTGTAAATTGGATTCAAAGCCAACAGTAAAAACATTACAGTTTACAAGGGAGAGGTATCATTAAATTTACTTGTGACTTCCAATGTTCAGAGTTTTTTTTCTCCAATTTCATTTGACTTTCTAAATCGCGAATCTGAACTTGAGACTGTTGATTCAATTCTTTGCGTCTAACTTCCAATTCCCTTGCATTTTCTTGTTTCAGGCGTACCAATTCTGCCTCACCTGCGGTTAGCTGACGCTCTCTAGTAGCAAGTTCAATGAGTGTATTGCGCAATTTTTCCTCCAGAGCTTGATATTCAGAAAGCTAAATGTACGTAGAGTGAGATAAAGAGCAAATTAAATTGTCTCATTTATGCAAAAGAACTGATAAAGAGACATAGTATTTATATTGCATTATACTTAGGAATAGTCTCCGTCGTATCAGTCAATCATAAACAATATCGGTTCTGAGACAAATATTCATCGACGAAAGATGTCACGGTCTGCGTCACCACAAAAAGAAATCGATCGCATGAAAAGCAGGCTTAAATAGTAAAATCAGTTGTTGAAAATTAGGAGTAATATTAACATTGATAGCTCTGAGGGAGGTTTCTGTATTACTTTAGTTATGATTTGAAGCTCCTGAGAGCAGAAATTAGTACTATGTTGAGCAATGCCATATCTAGGTCTTGTGTTCCCCCCAACGTACCCTTATCTTAGTCTAGGTAGCTCTTCGGGGTAGGCGGTAATTTGTTAGATTTGGTCAACGGGGATTCACCGACCCATTATGCACAACCAGGAGATATAGAAAACCATTGGTCTATGAATGTGGCAAAAAGGTAAATCTTATTCTAAATTTTGTGTTGGATCAATTCGTTTACTTAATTGCGACAAACCAGCTTGTATTGTAAGGGACTTATGTGGCTAACATGTTTTATGGTGAGCTACGTTACCTCATTGGTTGGATTGTGTTTCATTTGGTCGGACAATTATATTCCTAGTATCCTTAGTTAGAACTTTAGGACTAAAACATGTACAGTAGTATACAGTGACTAATTTGATAAACTGAAAACAATTAAATTGTGCTTCATTCTAACCTCCCTATGTTTCTATCAGTCGTAATTGAATGGAATAAAGCTAGGTCGTTCATACGATTGATTCAGTCGTCACTTAATGTTCTTTGGTGTAACAAGATTTCAATCATGATGGACTGTCTTATCCTTGACACTGATATTATTTAGAAGTAGTTTTCAGTAAAAGAATTTAATAATTAGTGTTGTAAAACACCAATTATCATAAGGGGCTGCGGGTAATAAAAACGTATCATAAGTGTTGTATTCATTTTTCGTAATCAGTCATAATCAATTGTATCCTAGCCTAGGTCTTAGGTACAGCTATACGAATAAGTACTGGGTCGGAATAACAGTATTATCAATGATAGTGAAAATTATATAATAATAATATGGTTCTAAGAAAAAGAAGAATTGAAAGCACAAAATAATACTCAAGACTTAAGAGGAAATTAAATACGGGTGCATCTGTGCGCCTGTGATCCCTTCTGAGCCATGCTAACCAACGATTGGTCGCAGCTACCGCATGGACCACGGCCAAGTAGTCTACATCTAGCAACATGACATGGACTGGTATCAAGTCTCAGTTTTACCACCTATGTCTCGTCTGTTGTTCAGCAAACGCATATGTCAAGCGGACTTTCGACATCCGTGTCGAAGTCTCATCAGACACCAATTCGCTAAGGTTAACGAAACTTCCAAAATAAGTAATGGATCACTGTACACAATTATCCCTCTCCCTATATCTAGACTATGCGATATTTCAATCCGGTGATTTGTCAGAATGCAAATAAACGCGTCTGATACAAGTAAATATTCATATTTTAATTTATTTTTCTGCCCTTTGTATCTTGCAACAACAAATTTTCGTTTAGACCTATTTCTGATCCTTTATATAACAGTCGGATTATTGAGCATGATTAACGCAACATTATAACACTAGGGATTGATGCAGACCAGTCATTTTGAATTTACGCGGAGAGAGAAGAATACCAGACAAGCTTGTCTTGTTTATCAATGAGATCAAAAAACTGCATTTTATCTTCATTAGGCAGAACTAAGTCATCTGCATATTCCACGTCGATAGGTGAATAACATCGTAAAACATCGAACCCTCACAATTTAGATTGAAAAAACGTTATTCCTGAGAGTATGTCTATAATAAGCTTTTTACAAATACGGTGACAGTGAGTAACAGTGGCAATCACCATCCAATATTCCCAATCCAAATAGAATTTCATCATTAAATCTGGGTTCATCAACACTGTTAGTCATCACGAAGTTTATGTACTTATTCAGTACACGTTTTAATAACAATTTTGACTAATCGTCCTCATGTTCGTAGTTTTTCGTTTTTTTAAAACCTTTTTTTGTTTTTGTTACTGTTTTTTTCGTAAGTAACTTGTTGAAATACTCTGTGCTGAGAATTCTATATTTTACCAAAATATAATATTGAATAAAGCCATTAATAATAATAATAATAATAATAATAATAGTTTAATGATATCTTCTATTATTATGTGGGTGTCCGTGATCTGATACTAAAATAACCTCCAAAATTGACTACTTGAGCGAGTGAGGAAATCTATTGAAATACCGAACAGTCAGTCAGCAACAACGTAGAACTTCGTACGTACGTACATCAGTTCAAGTGAAATACCGAATAACATGCAAAATGTTCATATACATAATTCTGCCCCATAGAAAATGAGTCCATTTCCTAGCCAATCATATGCATTTGTCCTTCAGGTCATTTGTGATTATCGTCAATTGACCTTATTTGGCTACTTCTGATCAACTCACTATATCAGCGTGTCAAGAAATACCATTATAATCAGGCGTTGAGAGTTATGTATAAGTTTGTAACCTAATTATAGGTGGAGTTTATAAAATTCAGTAGCGGCCTTGCAAGGTTATAAAGTAGAAGCACTTGCAGCAATAAATAAATCCCCGAAATCACTAGCTCTGTAAGTCTTCGACATTTGATGCTGACCACATTAGTTTTTATTAACTCACCTAACTGAAGGCTCTTGGTCACGCATCTGCACCAGATCACGAGTGGGGACGCTGTGCTCAACTTCTACAACCGCTAGCCAGTTTAGATCAGTCACTTCTCGATATATTGATAACCTATCAAGTATATCTTCGAACCTCTTCGCTTCTGACTCCCGATTTTACTGTGTGGGCACGCTTCGATTATAGAAGGCGTTGCTGGTTAAGGTGTTGTCGACTCCAAGTACTTGTGGCATCTTCACACTTATTGATTAGCTACTATTAAAAGAACTTTAGTATACCGGATCGTGATTCTCTCCAGTAAATGCTATGTACCGATAGAAATGACTAGAAACCTACCTTTTTACGACATATAATTTCGCGTTGACTATCTCTTTTATGCCATTCTTCAGCAAGTGTAGCCATCAGTGTCTGTTCTCGTTTCTTTAATTGAGCAATGAATTTGGCTTCTTCTGCTGCACGCCACAGTTCTAGCTCAATAGCCACTTGATATTCACGGGTTGATCGTATATCTGAAGGTTCAGACTATCATTGTAAGCAGCATAGACGTTGTCATCACACATGTTTGGATGATATGAAAGCAAGAGATAATAATATAAGTAAATTTAATTTCCTATTCAGTGTATTAATTTATTTCTTTACGTTTATTGCTGATATACGTTTTCTACAACTTCAGGTAGAGGACGAGATTAAGGGTCTATATATCTGAAAAGACTGAATAACGTTTATAATAATCGAAGTCAGACAATAAGGGTTTCAAACAATCATAATATACGAGAATTAATGCTTATCACTTATAGTCAGTTGCTATATGACTTGAAATTGATAGGATTCGATCAAGATAAAGAATTAGGAAACACCCAAATTATTGAACTTATCACTAATCATTTTCTTGTCTAGAGGGTGCAGAACCTCACAGGCAAAAGTGGACTGTAGATTCTTTGGCTGTAGCAGACACGACAACGTATGTTGTGTTCAACACAAACTTGCAAAACATTAGTAGCACTTCACTGGTGGTAACATTTTAATTTGGACTATTTATGGGATTGACCACAAAGTAGGTATAATAGAAAAATTGTTTACTTAGTCACATGTAATCTAAAACTTAGGAAATGCGTACATCGGTTCAAGTTGCTAGACCATATCACCACAACGAGATAAAATTATCAAGGCAAACATTGGATTAATAATAGTAACAGTTTCTTAAGTGGTAAAAGAAAGACTAAGCATAGACAGTATGATTCGAGAAGAATGAATTTGCTTAATAAAATGTTTAGGATGACTTCAAAACACAACAATTAAGGGAAGACAGTGAGTCAATACATCTGCTTCATTGGAACGGATTCTGAACCATATCAAAGAAATACTAACAACTACCGAAGAAACATATCACGAAAAAGTTAGTCTAATTTATACTTCTTACTAACAAACAGTTAAAGATTTTTTATAATAAGTCAAGTACTTCCATATTATTATTCTTTGATCAGTGGAAGGAATCCTAGTTAACATTTTATAGAAGATAATGTTACCAATCTATGCATTGATTCAATTACAACTTATTAATTAAGTGTAAAAATCACGTCAAAACAACTGTCCTGCATTTTTATATCTTTGATATTCTCTCAGTCAATTTCACTACTGAAGCCATGAAGACAATCTCGAAATTTTTCAAACTTTCGAAAGTGATAAATCATTTTACTATTGAGTTACAAGTTTAAAGAAAAGTTTGCATCACTTACCTTGATTTCATCATTTATTTGATGAACTAATCCCTTTGTCATATCCAATATAGCTGCATTACTATCTACAGTATGTGCACCAAAATCTTCTAACTGTAATGAATAGACAAGTTGTCCAACAACTTTTAATTCATTTGTATTGCTTTGTTCAGCTAACATGTCAACATTATCATTTATACGTCTGACTAAAGTAGACGATTCTTTTGTGGCTGGAATAAACCAAAAATAATGAAAACTGTTCAATTCAATATTGAAATTGTACATCTTATTAACAATATAACAGATAAGATTTGTGGATAACTTAAAGCGTAACAGAACTCGATTAGGTTATAGTTTAAAATAGAAACAATATGTCGAAAATGAAAATTAACGTGGGACCTATACCAAACACGCAAATACCCTCATGTGAATTTGTGTTTACAGCCTATGTAAAAGGGACTAGCGGTGAATTAAGAAGAGTTATGGCATCGGTCCTAGAATATCCTGATATTAAAACACAATTATATGAGGGAAGAACATTCTTTTCAATAATTTCACACCAAGTTCTACAATTATAAATCTAAATTAATCAACCATAAAATTGGCCAGATTTAAGGCAGAGTGCATCATTTAAAATTGTAATATGCTAATCAAGAATTGTTGTTTGTCATATAAAATCAAATCGTTAATTTTGGGATGACTAATATGAACCATTTTGAGTCTCAACATTATTTTGCTGTTTTCATTACTCGAGTTTATTCGGCTACTGTCGGGTTAGAATTCTTAGTGTATATGGTATATAGCTAGTAGTGTAATGTAGGACAAGCGCTCAATCCTATGTCTCAGTCAGAGAGGGAGTTATCACTAACACACGGAATATGTGATAAATAACCTGTGAAGGAATGAGATGTTTGTCAATTTTTAAGACCGATCTGGTTGTCACATATGAAACATAACAAATGTATTGAAGCAATACCATCAAAAAGCAAATATGGAAAACAAGACTGAATAATTGCAGTCCTGAATATCAACAATAACTCCACCTGTAGCTCTTCTAGCACTATTGCCGGTGCCAAACCCACACAGAGAAGGAAGATTGAGTATTGAGTCAGAATTCCGATCCCATATGAAACAATCTTGCTAAAACAACACTAACCACATAGCACAATTTAAATTATTTCAACTCTGTCCTCCGAGTTGAAGCATCTTAATTCAGAAGAATTATGACAGCTCATGGTAAACGCCTAAATTCTTTGTAAGTCACGAAGCCGAGGACCCTTCTAAAATTCAGAGCAACAATCAATATACATAGATAGAATGTTCGGACAATGTGAAAGACCTGGAGAACCAATTGAATACTTATGGAAATGAGGAGATACATCTTGACACTGCTCGGAATAAGTGAAGCCCATTGGAATCAAACAGAACACCAAAAGGCTAGATATGGAAGAGATGCTGCTATAATCTGGTCACGAAGAAAGGAAGCATCACACACTCAGAAAGTTGCTCTGATGCTGTTCATAGAAGCACATAATGAACTCACAAGATGGGAATCTCGATGGATCCACAATCATCAAAGGATAATTCAAAACAAAGGATGACGGTATCACGATGAATTTTATACAATGTTATGCACCTACCAAGACAGGACAATCACTGAAATTTAAGAACAGAGGAACAGATGGGTAGAGCACTTCGAGGAACTCTTGAATAGGCCAGCTCCAATCAATCCACCAGAAATTGAGGCAGCACACACACACACCTTCCTATAGATGTCACTCCATCAACCACGGAAGAAATCACGATGGCCATCGGACAAATCAACAGTCGGAATACAGTAGGACATCACAACACACCAGCTGAAGCACTGAAGTAACACAGTGAAGCAACTGCAAACATGCTTCACGTTGTATTCAGAAAGATATGTGAGGAAGAACAAGTGACACTGACAGACTGGAAAGAAGGACACCTCATCAACATACCAAATAAAGATGTGAGCAAGTGTGAGAAATACACAGGCGTCACACTACTATCACTACCAGGAAATGTCTTCAACACAGTGTTACTAAAACGGATGAAAGACTCAGTAGACACCCAACATCGACATCAACAGCTCGAATTCCGTTAGGGTCGGCCGTGCACAAACCAAATCGCGACACTATTCATCGTTGTTGAACAATCAGTTGAATGCAACTCGTCATCATATATCAAGTTCCTTCACTCTGAGGAAGCATTTTACAGTGTGGATAAGAGAAACTTATGGGAAATTATTCGACATTTTGGTATGAGTAGCTGAGAAAATCGTCAACAGCATACAGAATTCATACGACGAAATACACTGCAAAGCCGCGCATGGAAGACAGCTCACCGACACATTTCAAGTGAGGACCGGAGTCAAACAATGCTGCTTACACTCTACCTTTTCCTTTTTTTCTGGTGGTTGACTGGATTAAGGAGACCTCCACATCTGAGGAGATGCACGGATCACAATGGACAGCTTGAATACAAACTAGACAATTTGAACTCCACAAATGAACTAGCCCTTCTATTCCATAAAGACCAACGAATCCAGGTGGAGATATCCAGTGAACCAGCCAGGTTTGCATCAGTAAGCCTCAATGTAGACAATGGAAAAAGCAGAATCCTTAAACACAACATAGAGAGCACCAACTCAGTCACACTTGATAGAGAAACTCTGCATAGCATTATTGATCAACAAGGAGGATCCGGTGCAGATGGAAAGAAGCGGATGGCAAAGCACAAGCAGCATTCCTACAGTTGGATAGCATACGGAACTCAAAACAACTATCTGTAGACCAACATCAAAGTGTGAATCTTCAATACGGACGTCTAGACACTTCAACTGTACGGAGCTGAAATTTCGAGAACTACTAAAACTATCATCAAAACGTCCAAGTATTTCTAAATAATTGTCTATGCAAGATACTCAATGCCCGTTGACCGAATACCATCAACAATAACCTACTGTGGGAGAGGACAAACTAGCTTCCATTTGGAGAGGAAATTAGGAAATGACGCCGGAGGCAGATAGGACGTACATTGCGGCAATCATCAAACTGCATCACGAGGCAAGTGCTAACTTGCAATTCTGGAGGGAAACTGAAGAGTGGGAGACCAAGAACACATGGCATCGGGAATTGGAATCAGATATGAAAAGGATGAATAGGAACTGGAAAGGAATGTCCGGTACCGAGTTTCATGGAGAATGCTGGTGGGCGGCCTATGCTCCTCTACGGGAGTTATCAAGCGTAATGAAGGAAGGAATTGAATATCAACAATCGAAAATTGCAAATACTTGTAGAAACAATTGTTATTTATTGTTTGCTCGGATCTTCCCATTTATGATTAGGACTAAGATAGAACAACCTTTTCTGGCGTATGTACATCCTGTGAGGACTGTCTCGAAATCGCTATTCAGTCAAAATCATAAGCTCATATAATTGACGGCTAGTTGTAAAATCTTGGATGCGCGTTCTCTCGTTCGGGACTCGTTATTTAGATGTACCTTCATCCCAACATTGATGTTCACCACGGGACTCGAACCCAGTACATGGCACTTCGTACTCCACCGTGTTATCGGCTTAGCTACTTAGTTCAGATAGCCATTTGCTTGTGAGATAGGGCGGATTTCGATCCATAAATAACCAATGAATTAATAATAACCCTATGGTATAAACCAGAGGCTTTTCTAAATCAATACCCAAGTGGACAACGCGATGGTGTTTGATATAACGTGTACTGATTTCCGGTTCCGGAGTGAACATTAACTATTGCATACAGGCACATCCGACCGAAAAATTCCAAATAAGATTCCAGTGCCAGCCACCGACCAATCGCTATTGATAAACTATTAATACGTTTTAAGCAATTTGAAAACAAAAATCCCCATTATTTAAAAGTAAGAGGGTTATTAAGTTATCTTTTTCATTTAAATATAATTTACACATGAAAATTATCGTCACAATAATCAATAGGGAATTGTAGATAAACTTTAGGATGCTTGAATCATAACTATTATTATGTTAATATTATATAACAATTTTAATGATCTTTTTAATTCAATATGTGATGTAGTGATTAACAATGACAGCGACAATAACAAAAATATAGTTAAACAAAGTTTTAAATTAAATTCTAACCTTTAACAATTGATGATTCAAAGACTGATACTAAAGGTATAAGGGAATATCCAATGAAGGAATCTGTTGCTAAAGTACCTTGTGATCGATCGAAAAATTCCACTTTCAATGGATTGTCATTAAGACGAGTTTTTAACTAAGATTGTAGTATTAAATTTTTTTTAAAAAAAAACACTATTTCAATAGGTCTGTAAATAGAAATGAGTATATGGTTTATTTTTATTAAAAAAACAATACTTAAATAGATTAACAACTTGATGTAGTCATAAGTTAATATTTGACTTCATAACAGTTGGATAACGTCAATAAAATGTATATCCTATTTGACTTTATATTATCCCCATAATAACAACGTAAAGAAAACAAAGTCGAAAATGAAATTATTTGAACAATGTCTATTTTAGACATTCGATAATGTAGGCGACGATAAGAGATGAAGTGAAATTACAAAAGCAACACAAATAGTCAACCATGGTATTTAATAATAGACATGTTAAATGAACATAATTGTATATTCAATTTAGAATAGGATATGTGAATGAGCATATGACTGTCAAGTGAATTAATTCAATTCTTTTGGTTAATTTGTTACCAATTTTGTGACTAATTCGAATGCCTAATACGTGAATCTATTATATCTAGTACCATGTCAAGCCCATATGTGTTACTTTAGCTTCTGAACAGACCAAGTTATTTACTCTTCTTCAGTCACATTTTAACCTTGTCAATCACTAGCTTATTAACCTTGACTATTTTTATATGAGAGTATGTGTGTATGTCACTTATCCAATTCACACATATCAAGCTTATGTTTTTCTGGCTATAGTTGAGTTACGCCCTACAAAAGGGAGTTGAAACATTTGCCTTCTGCTTTTTCATTTTCTATATCTGTTTGGGTAAACGAGTGTATGAAGTAAATCATCCAACTCGATTTGTATTTGGCTTCTTCTTAACGGGGTTAACCTAGGCGTAATATACGAAATTGAATGGAGGGTTTATATTCACAGCATATTTATTCTTTGGAATCGGAATCAGATCAGCGGGCCACTAAAAATCTTCCTTTGTTTGGTTACCCAACCATTTATTTGTTCATCATATTCCATCACTATATTGGTATATAAATGCTTAAGACATGCTTATTAATTGACACTCTGGAAAGTTCGTATTCATTTCAATACAATGAAGATTAGACCAGTCTAATCCAGCTCTGGATTTATTTTACTACAATACAATTAATTGCTGGTTATTCTTGCCAGTATTATTTCTATTATAATATAATTCCTATCAACTTTCAGTGCCAGTAACAATATAAATTCAATTCAGTTACAAAGAGGCTTATTTCTGGTGTTTTTACAATACTAATATTATTTCAATCCATCTGTTTCCATTCAATCCAATTACATTTTGATAGTTTATTACTACTGTACACCTCAGTGAATGTAATTACTGAAATATATATTCAGGAACACTTATTCTAGTTCTTACTTAATTCATTTGTCCTCGGTCATCGATGATAAATAAAACGTATATAACCAACTCAATTTAACCAAACGTGACTTCATATTTTTAGTCAGACAAACAGGAGAACGGAATAAATGATAGACACACACACGCTCACGCATACACCCATAAAAAACAACCGAGGTAGCCAGTGTATAATTGACAATGGCGAATACATGTGTACATAATGACGCCAAAAAATCAGATTAATTTACCTGTCTAGAACTCAGAATAAATCATGTAGTCGTGTAACAGTGAAGGAGCTGCTACGTTAGTTCCATCAATCAATAATATACATTGACTGAATTTCCGTTCTAACCATTGAAAACGTAAGTGTCTAAGATTATTCTGAAGTCATCATAATCCCGATAAGATCATGTGATCACTATTTACAACTATCCGATCACACATAAATATGAAATGCAATGTGAATTAAATGTATTTACTTGACAGAAGACTACTAACATTAAGGGAAATTAGTCACTTTATAAGTTTGTGTTGTCAAATAAATCCTTCAAATTATAATGATTGCTAGGATCAGTGCTTAACATTTAGTCCCAACCTTACTAATTTCAAAAGGTTGAAGTAATTAAAAGTATTTTGCCATGCTGTTTGGCATTTTATGTTGAGCATAAAATTATTCATACACGTTTCCAGACAAGTCAACTTAGTTATTTCATCAACTAACATTTGCACATGAAAAACACTCTCATATTAGGATCAATGTTTTGTTCTTCCTTGACAATGACTGACTATGGTGATGATGAACCGCTCGAGTAAAATTAATTGGGAAATAATCTGCTGACAATGAAGTTTGTCATGATCTCATTAAAAGGTATGGGTTACTTTTGCTTTATAAAATCACTTCGTAAGTTTTACTCTACACTGGTGGTTCTTTATATAACTGCTAATAACTTCCTCATCATTACTGATGGTGCAAATTAATTGAGCTCTGTTCTACAGATTATGAAATTTTGGTTAAATGGTATAACAGCTCACTATTCCTAGTACTTGTCCTGGCAATACTATGCGGACTAATGAGATTTGTTTTACATTCTATATCTAATTCTGACATACATAACACTGAGCTGTTTAAGGAGATAATTCTTAAACGAGTTAGTTTTACGAACTGATTAAGTTTGGATGAATTCATTTGTAGCCCCAAATTACGAAATCTTTCGGAAACTGGTCTGTCACAAATAAGCGATATCTTAATCTAACGCAGACGGTTTCTGACAATAGTTTCTTTTGAAAGCCTCAAAGCAACCGTAGACTAAAATTGCGACCTTCTAGGGCAATAAGAAGAAAGAAATGAAGTCTTATATGGTTATTAAAAAACTTGCTTTAAATAAGTGTTTTGTTACCAATATGCCTTGGCAACAACACTTCAGCTTAACAGATTTATACAATTTCATCTACTTAGCACAAGAAATATCGAAGTTGGTTTCAGACTTAAACATTACCTAAAAACATTCATGTGTGTTGCATGTAGCTGTTGACTAAACATCATCGGGATTATAAATAAATGGTCATCTCTACCAGAAAACAACAACTAATTCAGTCTGCTGTGCAACAACTACATACAACTGATGGGTCCCTCGAAAGGTGAAATATGCTGCACGATTTCCATTACTAAATAAAAACGTCAGATTCAGTCCTGTATATGGATTCGAAGGGTAAATAAAACTCAAGAGATTACTTTGATGTTTTCTTTACCTTCTCATTTCATTTTAAAGAATTTACCACAGGATTGAATAAAGTACAGTGGTTCGAAAACCCCATGATAAAATATACTCTAGAAAGATGTCTTGTCAAATACTAGTTGGAAATTTTACGAAGATAGACACGTATAACTCAAACCAGCTTGGTAAACCAAAATACAATAATTATTTCATTAAATCAAATCTTACTTCTTCAGGCGATGCAGCAAACTCGAAGGCACAAAACCCATGCGGAAGAATAACCTCTTGATGTCTGGCTACGGCTATTGGTGGAAGTGTCATAACTGGGGCTCCACTTCCAAACAATGGATATACATATCTGTAAGATCATAAATAAGGGTATGGAAAAAGGTATTCAGCACTGGTGAATGCTTTTAGTGAGATTGTATTCCCTAAACCAGAAAGTTCAAATGCTGAATTCTCATCGTCTAAAACAAAAATGATGAGCTTCACGGGACTAAATTCAACCAACTGTCAAATGATTTTCAAGAATGAGAGTCAGTGTACCTTAGTCAGGGAGTTATCATTAATATACGAGGTCTGAGATTAATAACATCTGTACGACAAATATTTGATAAGTGCCAAGAAACTTAGCTTTGATGTTGCTAGTCGATTATCTGCAACCAGCTAATGCACAACAAAGGTGGGGTGAAATATTGGGTCAATCAGTTTGACTTCTAGCCATTTCACAGAGTGGTTAACAGAATTTTATCAGCAATACGAATAATTAGTAAATATTATGTGTTAAAATCAGTTGAAAAGTTTGTAAAGAATTTTTTATGCTAAACTAATGGAAAAGGAAATTCACACCAGAAATTATTAGGTAACTAAATACAGAGAAAAAACACCTGAAGCTCTTCCAGCGTTACTGCCGGTCCCAAGCCCATACAAAGGAGGAAGATTGGGTATCGGGTCAAAAACCCGATCCCATATGAAACAATCTTGCTGAAACAACACTAACAAAAAAACACAATTAAAATTATTTCAACTCTATCCACCGAGTTGAAGCATCTTCATTCAGAAGAATTATGACAACTCATGGTGAATGTCCAGATTTTTCTGAAGCCATGAGGCCAATGCCCTTTATAACAACCACATCTTGACACCGCTCGGAATAAGTGAAGCCCATTGGAATCAAACAAAACGCCAAAAGGCTAGATAAGGGTAAGATGTTGCTGTAATCTGGTCACGAAGAGGAGAATGCATCACACACTCACAAAGTTGCTCTGATGCTGTTCATAGAAGCACATAATGAACTCACAAGATGGGAATCTCGATGGATCCACAATCATCAAAGCATCATTCAAAACAAGGAATGAGGGAATCACAATGGAATTTATTCATTGTCATGCACCCACCGATGATAGCAAAGACAATGATAAACATCAGTTTTACAAAAAGCTACAATCGAACAAAAAGGCAGCAATTAACAAAAGCTGAACAAGAACAGAGAACGTCGAGGCACTAGCTAATTACACTGAAACAAGAAGGCAAGCGAATAGGAGCATAAGAACTGACAAGTGGAAATTTATTTACTCAGTTATTTATTTATTTGAACACGTAAACAATGGCACAAGTGGGCACCAAATTCATATGAGACATACAATAACAATCAGGCCATTTGTAGTTATCATTGACTGGCATCAAGGCTGTGATGTTGTCCGGGTGCCCAAATCGAAGCACGACAAGCATAAATACGTGGAACACCTACCAATGATAAAGGAAAAAGCTGTAACAGAAAGAAATATCAAACAACTATATGGTACAACGAAGAAACTGGTAGGGAAATATAGTAAACCAGAGGGACCAGTCAAAGACACGGAAGACGAGACAATGAATGAAATTCAAGAACAGAGGAACAGATTGGTAGAGCACTTCGAGGAACTCATGAATAGGCCAGCTCCAATGAATCCACTGGACATCGAAGCAGCACACACACCTTTCTATAGATGTCACTCCATCAACGACGGACCGGAGTCAGACAACGCTGCTTACACTCTACCTTTTCCTTTTTTTCTGGTGGTTGACTGGATTAAGGAGACCTCCACATCTGAGGAGATGCACGGATCACAATGGACAGCTTGAATACAAACTAGACGATTTGAACTTCACAGTTAAACTAGCCCTTCTATTCCATAAAGACCAACGAATCCAGGTGGAGATATCCAGTGAACCAGCCAGGTTTGCATCAGTAAGCCTCAATGTAGACAATGGAAAAAGCAGAATCCTTAAACACAACATAGAGAGCACCAACTCAGTCACACTTGATAGAGAAACTCTGCATAGCATTATTGATCAACAAGGAGGATCCGGTGCAGATGGAAAGAAGCGGATGGCAAAGCACAAGCAGCATTCCTACAGTTGGATAGCATACGGAACTCAAAACAACTATCTGTAGACCAACATCAAAGTGTGAATCTTCAATACGGACGTCTAGACACTTCAACTGTACGGAGCTGAAATTTCGAGAACTACTAAAACTATCATCAAAACGTCCAAGCATTTCTAAATAATTGTCTATGCAAGATACTCAATGCCCGTTGACCGAATACCATCAGCAATAACCTACTGTGGGAGAGGACAAACTAGCTTCCATTTGGAGAGGAAATTAGGAAATGACGCCGGAGGCAGATAGGACGTACATTGCGGCAATCATCAAACTGCATCACGAGGCAAGTGCTAACTTGCAATTCTGGAGGGAAACTGAAGAGTGGGAGACCAAGAACACATGGCATCGGGAATTGGAATCAGATATGAAAAGGATGAATAGGAACTGGAAAGGAATGTCCGGTACCGAGTTTCATGGAGAATGCTGGTAGGGGGCACATGCCCCTCCACGAGGGTAACAAGCTAATTAAGTAAATACAGAGAACAAATTATTCTTGATTAATTGATTTGTCGTTAAATTGATTAAGTACTGTGTAGTGAACGCTGTCATGTTTATCTAGTTCTTTCAGTGGTGATCAAATTCTATCAAAGAAGTTGAAATATAACCACTAGTCCAAGTGACTTACCATCGCGTGCAACGTATTAAGAAGCTAGGTGATTGAAGATACCTAATATTATTTATGTTTTTTTTTCGTATAGTAAAAAGATGGATTCAGATAGAACTGTTGGGATCATTCTAGAAATGAAGAGCTTTTCTGGAGATTTATATGACCTATATTACATAAAAATCACTAGTATTTTACTACATAGTTCGCTGACGTTATAATGTTTTCCGAATAGCAAACCAACCACTTACTTACTTACCGGTTAGTGTACTCTTTATTTGTTCAACTAAATTAAATTAGTCATTTTTGCTTTTGTCTTTAATGACTTTCAACTATTATTGCTGCTTTTATAAGCTAGAATGCAAATTTATAACGTGAACTAATTATTTAATTACTGTAAAACTATTCATTGAGTTATGCGTAAATAAATTCCGAGAACTAAATACAGTCTTCTAACTTAAACAATAATAACATTAATTATCAAACATTTAGTTCCATAATATTTTCTGGATTAAAGAAATAAAGTTGGCGATACAACTAAATATTCCCCTTAAAAACATTGCAACTAAATTTTTAAAGTTCTAGTGAGTATATATACATAAAATCTATTTAAGCTTCTAAAGAGCAGCAACCTATTGATGAGTTGTATAAATTCCTTTGATTGGAAAACTGGATAAAGACAATTATAGCAAATAATAATCACCATCGTTACACTACAATCTCTTTGTGAAAAAAATCTCTCTTCCCTCTTTATGTACTTTAGTAAGTTGCAATGTTAGTTGACAAGGTGTTGTATATTTATTTTTAAATTAATACATAATTTCGTTTGTTTATGACAATGCTGTCTTACCTATAAAAAAAGTCATTTTTTAACAAACTCTTAGTTTCAACTAGTTATTAAGTTGACATTAAAACTGATGGTATAATGGGAGTGTTTAAAAACTATCTAAAGCCCTCATTATTTAACAGTAACAACATTACGGGAACCCCACTAATTATTTAAAAATATCAGTAGTGTATAGTCGAAGTCAAATGAAGTTTCACATACCTGGCGTAAAGTTGTAACTCATGGTCGAAACCTTGAATATTTTTTACACTTCTTAGTTCAATAGTGTAACAATAACGATGCCAATTGGGTGTACCATCCATTGACTGATAAACGTTCAGTAGTTTTGATGGACATAAATAATCATCACGTTCAAGTGTTCTACTGGATTGTTTAAGTGTTTTTCCCTGTGAAGGAATTTATCCCCAAAAAACGTTATCTTAGCTTTAAATACACGTTATAGTGTAATTATTTGTAACGTTTTATCTTAATCTTGGCGTATATTTACACAATCTTAATTGAGAAAAAAGATAAATTGAATGCATTAGCCCCTTACCTAATATGAATAATTGTTTGGGACAGCCACAAAAGTTCGGTTATGTTGAAATAAAGCCAAACGTATGTACAGAACAATACATATTATAGTACTTTTTAGATATACACGCTCACATTCAAGTACAAGTGTATGATTTAGTCAATTTTGTTGCACAGAATACTATATGAACTGATAGTTTGTATGAGCAAGTTCATCGAAATTCGTGTGTACATTTTGACAAAAACTGGTGGCCAAGTGCACAGAAGAAATTAAATGTAAAAATTGCATTAAAATAATCTCTGATTAAAATCTACATAATTCTAAATATTGTTCACTCAAAAGAATAACGACTGTAACTTATAAACTACTGAGTTATAACACTATGGAAGTTGCGAAACGACGCTGAGATTGTGTTATTAGTTATTTCACTAAATCAAAGTTCACCTAAACATACTACATAAGATGAAGCCTAGATGAAACGAAAGTTAACAACGGATGGTCACATCAAGGAATTACACAAATCTATAAAAACTGATTAATGTTGAATAAGATCTTTAATGAATTATTGAGGCAACCAAAACCGCCAGTTAAAAATTCTGAATTCCGAACAACACATATTGTGCTACGCCTTATTCATTTCATATCATAGTCCTCTCACAGATGCTTCTCTTTTCCTGTTTTAAACAAATGTTTATATCATTAATTTTCATTGTTTTGTACCTATTTTCATTGATTGCTGTTTTGTATACTGACGTGAAGTATTTGCAATTAAGCTTATACATAACTGTGAGAAATGTAAATGTTTTTCCATTGTCTATTATAATACTACATTGACTGAATATTTGTGGATCAATCCCGTGGTGATGAAAGCAATAAGCTTCCAGTTAGTAGGTCTTCAGTTCGAACCTAGCCATTCACTTATTTTGGTTTAGATATTCAGTTGGTATCATGTATCTTCACACAAATGATATAAATTAAAGATGAGTACATAAATTGGTGTACTTGGTAAGTTACATGAACATAGATAGAAACTGATTGTTTCGTATGATTTAGACTGTCAATATTTCTGCACCAGTCAGTAAAGCAATTACTCATGTAGAAATTAATCTTATTAATCAAGTTCTTAAGGACTAAAGACACTATTTAGCTGTTGGATCCAAAATACATACATCGCAGTTCAAGTCTTTAACTAAATGATTGGCAATCAAATACCTAAACCTCTGATTGAACTGATCTACGGTGAGCAGCAAATTTCTACAAAGACACTAAGAGTATACTGAGTGGTTGAGCTAGTGAAACTATACACATATTTAAAATATAGTCAGAAATAATAATTAAAAAAGATACAATAATAGTATTGGATGCTTACCTCCGGTAACGAAGTTACAAACTGATCTATAGGAAAACACACAAACAGTTATTTATTAAAAGTAATAAATGAAATTAACCTACCATAATTTTCATTTACATTCGAACACACTGTATTTACATCTGCATATGGATCGAGATTCAGTGAAGAAATATGATTCAATGAATCTGTCATATTGCGCAATCTTCTGCTACTATTATTATTATTATTTGTCATGATCGATCGTTGTTGTATTGCATTTTTATCAGGATATCGTCGAAGTGTTATGTTTATATTGACACGTGGTTTATCTTCAGTATGCTTACTTTGATATTCTTTTAATTGTTGATCAGATTCTTCGGATATAAGCTAAAGAGAGAAGAAAAATTAAAATCTGAAATAAACTAACTCAAAAACTTTAATTTTAATTACATTAAAACAACAATAATAAGACTTGAGATAACGACTATATACTAATAAAAAGGTCACAACTTCTGAGATCATCCACAAACACCAGTTTGTAAGAAAATAGATTGGGCTAGAGAGAAGACAAAAAGTTCCAAAAACTTTCATTCAGCGATAACAAGAAGATAACATACTTGCAAGGAAGCTACTTAAAATTGCTCGCCCAAATAATGTGGAACGTAGTAAAACAACAAATTGTAACTCATAAATAAGTGTGTAAAATAGGACAAATTCAGAAATAATAATTTGTTTTGTTAAACGCAAGAAAATACTGGGAATCCTAGTGAATAAAATACACTTCCAATCTGTTTATCATTTTAATGAAAAATGGTTTTAAATTAAGAGATATTACTCTCAAACTGAAGTCAAATGAAAAATTATTGGCTGCTAAACGACCTTGAAGGTTTTTCCTATTTTAGCTAGTCATGATGTAGAAAACTTTAATAGATTATTTGTATTCATAAGTAAAAGTGTTTTGATGTCAGTGTGGTGTGTGCTACTGATGTCAAAATATATAAGTAGTATGTATCATGCATCGAAAGTGAAATGACTGGCGGCAGAAGGTTAAGAAGATCGAAGAAAAGAAAAAGAGAACAGAGAATGATTGCTGTGAAAGCGAAGGAACAATGAAGTCTGAGACGATTGATTAACATTTTGCAAATGAAGTATTTAGTATATGGTTCTCAGATTTTACTAAGACGTAGTGAAATTTGTGTATCCAAACACATTCGATGGTCCCCACTTGTGTTCTTGTTCTCAACAGTTGGTGATAACTTATTTTCGAAAAGCATTCTATAAATTAACTTGTACATATGGCACTATAGAAGTCTTTTTCATGATCTTTATATGTACATAAACAGCATTGCGACAAGCTCAAGATTAATTTTGTGAACTTTTGTTATTGAGTCGGAAACGTTCCGCTGGTATATTACAGGTTTATTAGCTTATCTGTGCTAAGCAAACTTCGATTCCAGTGAATCATCATGAAATGGTGTCAGACGAACACCCATATTATTTCAAAAAATTATTCTTGAGTAAAATTTAAATAATCTCAACATCTTGCATTGGTTGTAAAAATGAATGTAAATTCGACAATATTTAGAAGGGAGATTTGAAGTGAATATCTAATAAAACTCCGCCTGGAGTCCCTCCGGGGGCTACTGCCGGTCCCAAGCCCGGATAAAGGAGGAGGGTTGGGCATGGGGTTAGCGTCCTCATCCCGTAGAAAACTAACTCGCTAAAAAACGCTAACCAGAAAAAATTATTCAAACCTTTTAAACTCTGCCCTGGGAGTCAGAAGATCTTCATTTAGAAGAATTATGACGCCTCATGATGAAAGCCGAATCCCTTCGGAAGTTACGAGGCCGATGCCCCTTCTGACAACCAGAGCGACCATTTATTTAGGTACATGGAATGTTCGTACAATGTGGGACACCGGAAGAGCCTTCCAGATTGCTGCAGAAATGAGAAGATACAACCTAGAGGTACTTGGGATCAGTGAAACACATTGGACACAAGTTGGACAACAACGACTAACTACAGGAGAGCTCCCGTTATACTCCGGCTATGAAGAAGAAAATGCACCACATACACAAGGAGTTGCATTGATGCTGTCCAAACAAGCACAAAATGCACTTATAGGATGGGAATCTCATGGACCAAGGATCATCAAAGCCTCCTTCTAAACAAAAAAGAGGGCATTTCAATGAACATCATTCAATGCTATGCGCCTACCAACGACTACAATGAAGACGCTAAAGATCAATTCTACAATAGGCTGCAGTCAATCGTCGAGAAGTGCCCAACAAAGGACCTGACCATTCTGATGGGAGATTTCAACGCCAAGGTTGGAACGGACAACACTGGATATGAAGACATCATGGGACGACACGAACTGGGAGAAAGAAACGAAAATGGTGAGAGATTTGCAAATCTATGTGCCTTCAATAAGCTGGTCATAGGCGGCACCATATTCCCACATAAACGCATACACAAAACCACATGGACTTCACCGGATCACTCTACACAAAACCAAATCGACCATATTTGCATCAACAAAACGTTCAGGAGGATGATAGAGGACGTGAGAACCAAGAGAGGAGCTGATATAGCATCAGATCATCACTTACTGGTCGCCAAGATGAAATTGAAACTCAAGAGGCACTGGACAACGGGGCAGACAGTATCACAAAAGTTCAATACGGCCTTTCTCCAGGATACTAACAAACTGAACAAATTCAAGATAGTCCTCAGCAACAAGTTCCAGGCCTTTCATGATCTACTCAATGGAGAAGGAACTACTGTGGACAGCAACTGGAAGGGGATCAAAGAGGCAATCACTTCAACATGTCATGAGGTCCTGGGTCACAAGAAGCACCACCACAAGGAATGGATCACTGTTGGTACACTGGATAAGATTCACGAAAGGAGGAACAAGAAGGCAGCGATCAATACCAGCCGAACAAGAGCAGAAAAAGCGAAGGCACAAGCTGAATACACAGAAGTAAACAAACAAGTGAAGAGGAGCATCAGAACCGACAAACGCAAATATGTGGAAGATTTAGCAACGACGGCGGAAAAGGCTGCAAGAGAAGGAAACATGAGACCATTGTATAACATAACAAAGAAACTCTCTGGAAATCGCCGCAAACCAGAACGACCAGTGAAAAGCAAGGAAGGCGAGGTAATCACCAACATTGAAGAGCAACAAAACAGGTGGGTAGAACACTTCAGAGAACTGTTGAATCGACCAGCCCCACTGAACCCACCCAACATCGAAGCAGCACCCACGGACCTCCCAATCAATGTTGGCACACCAACAATCGAAGAAATCAGCATGGCCATCAGACGAATCAAGAGTGGCAAAGCAGCAGGACCGGACAACATCCCAGCAGAGGCACTAAAAGCAGACGTAGCGGCAACTGCAAGGATACTACACATTCTCTTCAATAAGATTTGGGATGAGGAACAAGTGCCAAAAGACTGGAAAGAAGGATTTCTGATCAAAATACCGAAGAAAGGCGATCTCAGCAAGTGTGATAACTACAGGCGCATCACTCTTCTCTCAATACCGGGAAAAGTCTTCAACAGGGTATTGTTAAACAGGATGAAGGACTGCGTAGACGTCCAACTTCGTGACCAACAGGCAGGATTCCGTAAGGATAGATCGTGTACAGACCAAATCGCAACTCTACGGATCATTGTGGACCAAACAATTGAATGGAATTCATCACTCTACATCAACTTCATTGACTACGAAAAGGCATTTGATAGCGTGGACAGAACAACACTATGGAAACTTCTTCGACACTACGGCGTGCCTCAGAAGATAGTCAATATCATACAGAGTTCATATGATGGATTACACTGCAAAATCGTGCATGGAGGACAGTTGACAAAGTCGTTCGGAGTGAAGACCGGTGTTAGGCAAGGTTGCTTACTCTCACCCTTTCTCTTTCTCCTGGTGATCGACTGGATCATGAAGACGTCAACGTCTGAAGGGAAGCGCGGGATACAATGGACATCTAAGATGCAGTTGGACGATCTAGACTTCGCAGATGATCTGTCCCTTCTATCCCAAACGCAACAACAGATGCAGGAGAAGAAGAACAGTGTGGCAGCAGCCTCAGCAGCAGTAGGTCTCAATATACACAAAGGGAAAAGCAAGATTCTCCGATACAACACAGAATGCACCAATCCAATCACAATTGACGGAGAAGATTTGGAAGATGTAAAAACCTTTACGTATTTGGGCAGCATCATTGATGAACAGGGTGGATCTGAAGCAAATGTGAAGGCGCGGATCGACAAAGCAAGAGCAGCATATTTACAACTGAGGAACATCTGGAGCTCAAAGCAACTCTCTGTCAACCAACACCAAGGTCAGGATTTTCAACACAAATGTCAAGACAGTTCTACTGTATGGGGCGGAAATTTGGAGAACTACGAAAGCCATCATCAATCAGATACAAGTGTTTATTAACAATTGTCTACGCAAAATACTTCAGATCCATTGGCCGGACACTATTAGCAACAACGTACTGTGGGAGAGAACAAACCAGATCCCAGCGGAGGAAGAAGCGCTGGAAGTGGATAGGTCACACATTGAGGAAAGCACCCAACTGCGTCACAAGACAAGCCCTCATATGGAATCCTGAAGGTCAAAGGAAAAGAGGAAGACCAAAGAACACATTACGCCGAGAAATGGAGATAGATATGAGAAAAATGAACAAGAATTGGATGGAACTAGAAAAGAAGGCCCAGGACAGAGTGGGTTGGAGAATTCTGGTCAGCGGCCTATGCTCAATTGGGAGTAACAGGCGTAAGTAAGTAGAGTAAGTATCTAATAAAAAGTAAGTAAATAAACCAATGGTTTCTTACACTAATTACTAACAAAACTGACTAATTTTAGCTGCGACAAGAGTAAAATATTGAGTCTTACGTCAAAACTTTTATTTAATACAGCAGTATTCTGTAGTATATGATCATTGAACGGTATTAGTTGTTCTACTGGAACAGTTGCATGTGCTAATACATGACTTCCAAAACAAAATTTGATCACTAATGGAGTAATATGCACAAAATAAATACGTAGAATATCAACTGTTGATCTGAAATGAAAAAGAAACATACGTTTAGATAGCATATTGAGGAATGGAAGTCACCTCACTACTGATCTTAAAAGATCTCAAAAAAAAGAAATGGAAACAGTTGTTTGATTATATATATATATATATATATATATATATATATATATATATTTACCAAGATTATAAATATTAACAATTAGTCTTAAAAGTGAATTAAAATCTACGGGTGTGAATTATTTAATGCTTTATAGACTAGGCGACTCTGATTACATTATTAATGATTTTATTTTCTGACAGGGAATAATTGAGTCATTACTGTTGATTAGCGCTTGTAGTCTTAAGAGAATTAGTTCAGCTAGTTATACATATAGTTGGGGAACACGTAATTTTATACATATGGATGTGATCTTAAAAACTGAAAAACATATTAATTTACGCTAAAACGATTAAAGGCAATCAGAACAAAGTCCTAAACCTATATTTCATGCCGATTAACCCAGACAGTCAATTTGTCATGTTTTTGAATTTGAAACAAGGTGAAATGGATTTGAATCGCATAGGCACTAGTCATTTTCAAACGGTTACCAAATACGTTTTGTTGACATGGTGTTAAAGAATATAAAACTTCTGTGTAAGGCTTATTGTAGTTTCTGTCAACCGTCTCATATTTTAAAAACAGTGCACGATCATATTGAATCAGTTATCATGGCTGTGCAACAGTTCGCTTCATTCTATTCTATGGCTGTGAATCATGGTTCATTAAGAATAAAGTTTATTTATAGGTTACCAATATTTGATCATAGGCGTCTTCGAAGCATAGTCTGGGTATTTTAGGATTACCGAGTGAGAAATGACGAGGTTAGGATAGTATGTAATGACGGTAAATCGACTGATAAGTAAGTAAGTTTTCATCAACTGAAGTGGTTGGCATATGTGTTACGTGTGCCCAATCACAACCTACTCTTATGGGGAATGTTGGCTGATGAAGGAGTAGACTGAAAGAAAGCTAGGGGTGGGCAAACCAAGACAAGGCATCAGTCCATTGAGTCAATAACAATTAGACTGAACAATGTTAACAAGTGTATACTACTAGCTTGAGGTCCGCGTGATTATCGTACCTTTGAATAACATGGCACAAAATCGTTTGGAATGTCGAAAATTCATCCAACCTTTGTCTTATTCAGATCCAAAGTTTGTAAATGTTCCATAAATTTGATTTCATCAATCTATATATTCTTCCGGAATTTCATCTTCCATCCCAAGTCCGTTCTTTTACCATTGATTATTATTGAACTTAGATGGCACTCCGTGATGAGTAAATAACTTCACTAGTAGTAAATTGCACTGCGTAAGTCATGATTGTTATCACATATCAATAAATACTTCACAATTTGACAATCATAATGTTTCATACTGTTTAATTTTTTTGCTAAATTGTAATATGTTTCAATCGTTGTCATATATTTTAGACATTTTATTTATCATTATGGGGATCTGTGAAAATTGTAGTATTTTAACACTTAAATTCATGAGACAGTTCCCATAGTGACAATAATTATGTGCTCACTAGTGACTAGCTTCAAGCTGGATTTCCTGGAGTTTTTGCTAGAAGCCGTGATCAGTGGAGTTTAATCCGTGTCGGATGGAGACAGTTATCCACTTCGGACAATGGATTAAGGGTTGCACAAGATCATGGATCGATTGAAGCTAGACGTTGTCACCACTGGATACCGGCTCAGTGGTCTAGAGTTTAGTCATTCGCGCGCGAGACATAAGGACCTGGGTTGGAATCTCGCGTGCGGGATAGAGGATGCAAACTACTGAAGAGCCCATAATAGGATAAAACGGCCTTCCAGCGCTTCCAGGTCTTCAATGGTGGTTTAACTTAGATTGACTCGTGAATCCAACTGCTAAAATATATTTTATTTAGTTTTATGCAGTAAATCCCCATTGCCGTTTAATTGAATTAAACCCTGTAGCACTGTAGCATAAATTCTTTTACTTTATTTAGCTAGAAATCAGAGTTTAATTCGTGAATAAAACCAACCAAAGTTTATCATGACTAAATATTTTCTTTTCACATAAAAAACTCACTTAATATAGAAAGTTTGTTCGATTGGATTAAATTTCACTTGCATTAATTGACTGAATTGATTAGAGTAAATTGTAATACCAAATAGTTCACATGTAAAATGAAATCCACCAATATGTTCACCTGAACATAAACTTTGTTCAGTTGGAATTAATGATTCTAATTTAAAAGCTTCTTCAAACTGAAAAGTTAACATAAAATATTCTTTTGCTAAACGCCTTGGACCAATTGTATACCAAGTGATATTTGTTGATTGTATATTTGCCATTGTTGTAGGTATTGAAAAGTGTTGATTATCTTCTTCTGAATTATAAACACGAGGTATTAAATCAGCTTCTGATAGGCTCATCGCTAAACCTTATAAATTTGAAGAAAAAAACTGTCTGAATTATATATATACCGGTACTTATCATCGATTAATGATATAACCCCACCTGTAGCTCTCCTAGGATTACTATCGGTCTCAAATCCACACAAAGGAGGAGAGTTGGGCAAGGGGTTAGCAACTTCATCCTGTAGAAAACAACCTTGCTAAAAATACGCCAACCAGAATAATCAATAATATGAGGATAATTTTGAAGACAAAACTTTATGACAATTACTTATGGTAAATGTATGTTGAAATAAATCGGATATATTGTACAAGGCTGTATACATAATGCATTTACATGTGTATGTATGTTCATTGCAAAATTACCAATAGATACAATGAAATCCTTAACAAATAAGTGGAAAAACAAAATTATATAAATTGATAATACAAGAAGTAAAGAAAATGTTGCAAAACGTTTTTCAATGTAGCTCATTTCTAGGTATGGATTTATTTACTCGGTTTTGAAACATACTTTTGTATGATGGCTGTGAAGATCTCCAGTCGGTGGTCGATGTTACGTGAAGGAATAACAGGTTTAAGTAAATATATATGGATTTATATACCCAAACCAAAGTAGTTGGTTGAACCAGGTTTAAACTGGTTGCCTACTAGTTGAACCTCATTTTGGGACGAAATAGCGGTTCAATATCTTTTAACTTTCAACGATTACCTAACAGAAGTCGCTCTGAGATGTAAAACTTCAGATTTGAATATTTATATCATTTGTTCTTAACACGAATTCGTTGTAGGCTATGATCCTATACTTCATTTTTAATAGAGATACAGATATGAAATGTCAGTAATTAATTATTTTCAAAAGGTTTAACCCAAGACTAAATACAGTAGTCAGCAAAAAATCATAAAATTTATTGTTTTTACTGAAAATCTTATTATCATAGGCTCATAAACTTAACATGACTTGTTTGCTAAAACTACAGAATATCAACGAATTTATTAGATCTTTGCCCGAAATTCGAGAGATAGTGACCCTCACCTTGTAACAGTTAAGTGAAAATTACCTGTATCTCGTTTCTTGAGGTGCTTGAAATCGACAAATTTACTTGTTGTGCAATAATACAGTGAATGCTACATGGTGTTAAGCTAAAATAAATGAAACAACTGCTTTTAAAGTATATTTTATATGAAATGCTTATTATTCACTGTCTGTATTCGATAAGATTCAGATTACTGGTAAGAGTGTTCGTGTGATCTACCATAGTCAGCGTTGCCTAACATTTATAAACAGTCCAAGGTGACTTTAAAGTTTTAGAGTTTTCAATTCAAATATCAATCTGCATAAGTTTTGACCAATATAGCTTACAGATATTCTTCCAATTTAATCTCCATTACTTATCCTAATTCTTAGCTTTGAAAGTTATATAAAAAGGAATACAGGAATTCATGATCGAGAGAAAGATAACAAGCAAGTTCATCTGCGCCATCGTGAATAACTCTAAACCGTGTGACCCAGACTCTGCAGCCAATGAATACGGTTATCGCGCCGACACCAACCAGGTAGTCCGCATTCTAGACTTACAATCAATCAGTCCATGGACTGGTATCAAGTCTTGGTTTGGACACCCTTAACTTCCTTTCAGCTCACTCCTACACCAAACAACATTGACTATTGAGGTTGGCAGTAGTTAGGTATAATAGCATATCCAAATTACTTTAGTCGATGAAAGTTCTACGTTTGTCGCGAGAGTCTTTTAAAAGTATTACATTAAAGAAGTAAAATCTAACATAAATCAACAAATAATTGCCTAAAAATCTACTAATACTCATAATCAAACCGCAACACAAACAAAATTGACAACTGATTACCTGTTTTGATTTTTGGATTTGGAACAAGTTCTTGTCCTTCAATATCTAAATAAATTGAAGCAAATACAGCTGGACTGCTTTTATATTTACTATGCAGAATTCGATACCATTTGTAGACCTTTTAAAACACATTAGTAAAGTTGTATGAGTCAAGATTAAAAGAATATTCACTTTTTCAGTAGAACATGAACGTAAATCTAACATGAAAAATCCAATTGGTTCTTTAACTGGTGATTGGCTGTCAACAGCGGATACCGTTACTTTCAATGCACTTCGTTGTAAACGATGTTGTTTTAAACTTGTTTTATCTAAATCCCAAGCAAGTTCCTGTTCAAATTGGGGTTCTTCATTATGTTCAACTGGATCAGTTGATAAAACTTCATTATTGAACTTGGCTTCACATACTAAATGATATGTAGGTCGATTAGGAAAGTTACGACCTTGGAAACAGAGAATCCGTCAGTAACATTTGGGTTGTTTAAATAGGAAGTTTTAAGATTATATAAATGATAAAGTTAATTGTACATAAACTTAAGACCACATGGCTTTCCAAAGTATTTGGAAGATTAATTACTTTATTAATCCGCCCAGTATGCATGTATGCCACAGGAAACTGAAAATTCACGGTCCTTAACACCAACAACGGAAGGACTCGAATCGTCACAACTGCATTGTTTATTTTTTTAACTCATATTTTTGAATTCACACTAGTACACTGTTGAATAGTTTTGATCGTATGATAATTGTGATTGAATAAACTTCAAAAAGTTTATTTTTATTAGCATACTTCTCACCTCTAGATTCTAATTTAATTTAAATAGAGTGAGACGAGTAAATTACTACCCTTTTTCATAATATCACTCCAAAATCAACATGCTAACCAACTGGACAAAAACTTATCAACTACTAGAAACCAACGTTTTAGACGGGCTTTTAAACGAAAAACTCACTCAAGAAACTAAGTTAGTAGCGTATATTAATTGTTTCGTTTTAAGTAATCTATGTTAATAAAGAGCATTTTCATGTAAATACATAACGATCTTACGACATAAATTTTGTGTCAAATTTACACGTACCATCAAAAAATATATAATCTTTGAAGCTTATTCTTAAGAGGCCACAATGGTTAAGAGAATTTTTTTCTAATTCTGAATAAATTAGCTTCCAGTGATGGATAATAATCTTACACTATGCCGCTTTTATATTTCTGTAGCAATATAATTTACTAGTTAAAAAATCTACTAACAAAATTTTTGATTTTTAAATGAGTTGATGATAAAAACGTATGAAGCATGGATGTCAAATGTAGAACCAGGGAATAACCTTGTGTCCGTAATAAATGTATATTCATTTTTAATAATGCATGTAGCTCAAATATAGATCTATCATTTTATCGAAATAGCACTATTTTAGAAACTTTTTAAGGTTATGTACGTAAAAGAACATTTAACAAGACATTTTAATTACGAAATCAGTGGTTTAAAAAACCAGTTATTTAATATATCTCTTCACTTTCCCCCATATTCAATAGCATTTTATCTTGAGGAAGACAAACCAGAATTCAGTGAATTAAAACAGTAACAGTAGTAGTTACTGATCAGTGAAACGCCAAGGAATTTTAAAATTAGTCCTATTAATAAACTATCTCTTTTTAATTTACATGTTTCTAGATGTGTTTAAAGTAATCCATTTTAGGCTGTTATAAAAATTTGGAAATTACCCAGTAGTGTGGTACGCAAGAGCTTAATTTGTTGAAGTTCGTACAATACATAAAACAATTTTTTACAAACATCTTTGAAATGTAATCACACCTTAAGAGCAATCATATAATTCATTAAGTTTGTTATATATTTTGGTTATAGATGTCGATAATATTATGGAAACTACTCCGGTGGAACGAATTAGTGATAGTGTAGAACTGTCACCTAAAGAGATAATTCTTGATCTTCACTATGTGAATGATATTGTCTTACTGTGCAACGATACTCAAGTTATACAAATTGCGACTTGTCATTTGCCAGTCAGTGTCCATAGCTACGGTAGGTAATCTCTACCTCCCAAATCCAAAGTGATTTTAGAAAACTGAGAGGAACTTGTCCTTGAACTCACCCTTGATAGTGAGCCATCGGTAGACGACACATTTGTGATTTAGTGGCTGTGTGAGTGCTGGTGGTGGTGTGACTTATTAAATCAACTTACATATAGTGAATGCCAGAATAGCTAGGGTATTTTTGGTGCCATTGGGATGGTGATCTACGATTTTTTGGTGATGGTAGAATCACCGAGTCAGCAATGTTGAAACTAGACATAGAGTAATAGGCAAAAATAGATGACTGAAATTAGTCTGTGACTAATACACCTGTCAATCAAAAGAATTCCCACAACAACTGCTTTACTTAGAATAGTGACGTGTTGATTTGATATCCAGTATCCAATAATCGATAGTACTCTATTTCAAACCTTGGCAGTTAAGATGCTTTATTTGAAAAGATTTTCGTTTGTGCACATTTGTAACGTCTCTTTTTTCTCATAATTTTAGAAGCACTTTCCCCGTTGATCTCTATACTTCTTGTTGTTTGTAAACCGTGACAACTTAAATCAACACATTTGCTATCATGTCTCATGTCGCTTCAGTATATCTATTTGAGTTGTCCATGCATGCAATGGGCTTAAATTGCAAAATGCATTGTTATTAACATTATATAGATCTTTGGGACGTTTGTTATAAAATGAGGTGTCTTTAGTTGGTGCAGTTTAAAGACTTGTATTCCTTACTTACTTAGTTAGGGCTATTACCCTTCGTGGAGGAGCATAGGCCGCTAATTAGCACTCTCCATACAACCTTGTCCTGGGCAACCCTTCCCACTTCTTTCCAGTTGCTATTCATCCTTTTCATATCTGCTTTCAATTCCTGATATAATGTGTTTTTTGGCCTTCTTCTTTTCTACTTCCCTTCCGAATTAAAAGTTAGCGCTTGCCTTGAGGTGCTGTTTTATGATTTCCTAAATGTATGTCCTATCCACCTCCAGCGTCTTTTTATGATTTCCTCTTCAGACGAAACCTGATTTGTCCTCTCCCACAGTAGGTTGTTGCTGATGGTATTCTATCAACGGACATTGAGTATCTTACGCAGAAATATTTGTATGATTTTGGTTATGGTTGTAGTAGTTCGTGAACTTTCAGCTCCGTACAGTAGAACAGTCTCGACGGTCATATTGAAGATTCTGACTTTGATATTGGTTGACAGTTGCTTCCAGTTTCATATGTTCTTGAACTGTAGGAATACTGCCTTTACTTTGCTAATCATTGCCTGCACATCCGCAACAGATCTTCCTTGTTCATCGATGATGCTTCCAAGGTACGTTAAAGACTCCACATTTTTCGGAGCATCTCCATCAAGTGTGATTGAGTTGGTGTTCACCGTATCGTATTTCAAGATATTGCTTTTTCCAGTGTGCAAGTTGAGGTCTACTGATGCAGATATGGCTGCTTTACTGAATTTTTTCACGTGCATTTGTTGGTCTTTATGGAATAGAAGGGCTAGGTCATCTGTGAAGTTCAAACCGTCCAGGTGCATTCAAGCTGTCCATTGTATTCCATGCTTCCCCTCAGATGTGGAGGTCTTCGTAGTCCAGTCAACCACCATCTATAGGAAGGTTTTTAGATGCTGCTTTGATGTCCGGTTGATTCAATGGAGCTATTATATTCAAGGGTTCCTCAAACTGTTCTACCCATCTGTTCTTTTGTTCTTCAATTTCAGTGATTAACTTGCCTTCTCTGCACTTGACTGGTCTCTCTGGTTTACTATATATCTTGTTCAAAGTTTGCATAAAGATCCATTCTTTATGATGATGCTTGTTGCGACCAAACACCTCCTGGCACGTTGATGTTAGTATTGCTTTGATCCCTTTCTGATTGTTATCCATAGTACTTTGTTCTACTTTCAGTAAATCCTGTAACGCTTGGAACCCGCTATTGAAAGTTATGTTGAATTGGTTGAGTTTGTTATTATCTCGTAGGAAGGCTGTATTGAACCTTTGTAATGCTTTTTCCCCGAGCTGTCCAGATTTTCTTTAGCTTCAGTTTCATCTTGACCACAACCAGGTGGTGATCTAAAGCTATGTCAGCCCCTCAATTGGTTCTCACGTCCTCCATTGACCTTCTGAATTTTTTATTGATACAAACATGATCTATTTGGTACTCCGTGGTGTGGTCCAGCTAGACCCATGTAGCTTTGTGTATGGGTTTGTGAGGAAATATTTTGTATCGTATAACTAATTTGTTGAATGCACATAGGTTTGTGAATCTCTCCTCGTTTTTGTTTCTCTCTCCAAGTCCATATCGTCCCATTACATCTTCATACCCGGTGTTGTTCATTCCGACATTGGAGTTTAGGTCTCGCATCCTGATGATCATGTCGTTTCTTAAGCACTTCACTATGATCAGTTGAATCCTTTCATAAAACTGGTCTTTATCGTCGTTATTACTATCATTGTTGAGTGCATGACATTGGATAACATTTATCATGATTCCCTCCTTCGTTTTGAAGGATGCTTGGATAATACTAGATCTGTGAGATTCCCATCCTATAAGTTCATTACGTCCTTCTTTTGAGAGCATCAAAGCAACTGCCTGAGTGTGCGGAGCGTTTGCTTCCTTGTAAACAAAGTACAGCAGCATCATTCCCGAACCTAACCTTTTCTGTCTAGTTTTAGTCGATTGTGTTTCACTGAATCCGAGCACCTTCAAGTTGTATCTCATCTCCGTTGCTTTTGGACTGGTTCTCCCAGTTACCCACATGACCTGGACATTTCATGTACCTATATTGATTGTTTCTGTGGTTGTTGGAAGGGCCGCCGGCCTCGTGACTTACGAAGAATCTTGGCCTCCATCATGAGACGTTATAACTCTCCCTTCAACTCCCAGGGCAGAGTTGAAATAGTTTAGTTTGTTTATTCTGGTTAACGCTTTTTAGGAAGATTTTTTCTACGGGATGTGGTTGCCGACCTTTATATATATATATATATATATATATCCTTAACACTTTCGGACATCCTCTTAAACACCTACTTAAATTTAGCTCCAACACAAATCTAAGGGGAAACACCCAAAAACTAGAGACACAACACAGCAGAACGCATTGTAGACACAACTTCTACTCTTTATGAGTTGTCGAATTCTGGAATTTATTGTCGGCTGAGCTAGTCCAAGCGACTATCCAGGAGTCCTTTAAGAGAAACTTTGATCTATTTTTAAGGACTAAGGATAATATCTTACTGCGATTTACCAGTGTCTTTTTACCCTGTTATCGTTAATATACCTAGGTTCTTGCCTGGAAGTATTATGATCCACTGATACCAGACATGGAAGACGTTAAGCGAAAGCTTCTTCTATTCTATTAACAACCATTTGAACCACTCATCGACGATGAGTTGACATTACTTATTCAAAAGGCTATTTCTACCTTTTTATGGACGGAAAACCAGCTATGAGTTAAAGCTGTGATACACATTTAATTTCACAAATAAAACGGGTAGTATACTGAGAACAGATGCGAAGATTTAATTCTCAATGTGAAATCGTTTGTAAGAGGATCCAAAAAAATTTTGAGGCATCAAAAAATTAGCTATTAATTTTGCTTCCCAAAAGTAATAAGTTTAGTTCGAACATACAAAAGATAGAACATTGTGTACTGACTAAATGCTCATACTTGAAAGCAGAGTAACAATGTTAATCTTTGCAATGTTCTACAATTTGCAGTACAAAAATGAGCAACCCACTTTTTAATTTAAAAATGCATAAAGATGTAAAACGAAAATAGGTATTTAAGTAGTATGGTACCTGTGATTAGTGCAACAACAACTAAACAACGGTCTTTTAACTGCATTTCGAATGATAAAATAATAGTAAGTTATCCCTATCAACATCATTTGATTCGCTCAAACAAGTCGACAAGTAGTAATAGCTTGCTGGTGACATTTAAAAATATTTTGCCGATAGTGATTGTGCATTTCTGGCCTTATTTTGAAGTTCGATGCGTTGTGTCTTATAAGAATGTGTACAGAAGAACGTAGTCTGGCCTACTCGGATACATTGTGGTTTGTCAGTCCTGCGTTCAAACCGGATACTGGCAGTTCTGTCGTTACAATCTGTGAAACAGATTCTCATTTAGGTATGTGTATTAAGGACAGAAGATCCATGGTCTATGTGAGTCCTTTTCTAGTAAGCTTCTATGAGTGTCTAGTCTTCTATTGAATGAATCAATTAAAGGTGCGGTAACACTACTCTGGGTAACAGAATTCAAGAATCAATGATCCGGTTTGGAAACCTGTATTCCACTAGTATTTTGCTCGTTCTTGGCCTTTTCACTTGTCCACTATGTCCCTTGAGTTGTCTTTATCTGATAGGGAGAAAAAGATATCATACCGCCCCTCAATCTGAGGTAGGACAGAGTTGTAGCGGTAAATAAATCCCTAAAATAAATAGCCCTGTAAGTTTTCGACATTGGATACTGACCATATGTTTTAGTGGACTCATCTAGCTGAAGGCTCTCGGTCATGCATCGGCACCAGATCACGTGTGGTAACGCCATGCTCAACATCTCCGATATATTGGTTATCGCCAAATATACTCTTCCGATCTCCTTGACTCTGTCTTTTGATTTCTCTGGGTGGGAACGAAATATATTAGAAGGTGTTACTGGTAGAAGCGTTGTCAAACGCTGAATACCTGTGTCATCTTCAGAGTAAAGGTGTCCATCTTTTCAAGACACCTTATTTATGGTAACAGCCGGTGTCTGTCACTGTGTGTGTAGCTGCCCTCTGTACTTTTTCCGGAATATCCGTTCAAACAGGGCCTGGTACCTGAACGACGTCTCAAGTATGGATATCACTAAGGTTGTGTATACCCTCGTGAACTTATTAATAACTAAGTTGTTAAATATCGGTTCTAAAGCTCATGGGGTTCTGAAGCCCTTGGGTGTGAGATCAAGGCAGCAGGGCTGTGATCTTGAGGTCGTAACTTACTGTCGTTCTAAGACCATTGTGAGACCACACTGCGGGCATTGACTCTTCAACAACCCTATATCTATTCACCCATATATCCCTTATGTGCGCGTAGACACATTTACTGCGTTGATGGGCATCAGCCATTTTAGATCAGCTAATTAGATTATCTAAGTCTTCCCGAAGCGAAAATGTACTTCGTCAAATTTTCATATAATCAACGTCTATTAGTGTCGGGTGCTCAACTGCACTTGAGAGTTCATTTACATACCGTGTAGATAGTGGAATACTTAAAACAGAGCGTTGAGGTACTCTACTAAGTATTGTTTACCATGACAAGCACTTGAACTTTTTCTTCACTTCCTGTCTACGACCTACCAAGAAATCATTAAGCCATTTTAGGGGAGATCTGTCAATGCCCAGATTTTTCAGCTTCAAGAGTATTTTGATGTTGTTCATGTAGACAACATCCACTGATTTCCCGTTGTTCAGAGCCATCATCCATTGCTCGCCTGCTATTAAAGGGTTTGTTGTATATACTCCGTTATTAGTACTGTTCTAGTAATAAACCTAATCCTGAAATTGTAGATCTATCATTATGTGGCTACTTAATCTATGAGATATATCGTGGAAGAATATCGTCGTCTACACTGATTCGTCCTACTTCTGGAGAACACATTTAAACTGGAGATAGAATAATATATTTAACATGAGTAAAATATATAAATTACGCAAGAATGACCACTCCTGAAAGGCTGGGCCGCGCCATCCGATTGAATTGAATATTTCCGTATTTTCGGCTTTTAACATCCTCTTTGTGTCAGTTGTTGAATACAAATCTTTTTAGTGATTATATGCTCATTTTCAAAGGCTACGGTCCAGCGCCACTACACTACTCTCACACAAGATTCAACGTGACGTTGGTTCGATACCAAAATTAGTGGTGTAGGGCCAGTGAAATTTCGTTGAGCCCTAGCCAAATCGTCCGGCATTTGGGTCATTGAATATCAAACAAATCATCGATCCTCGTCAAGGTCAAGGACAACCAACGCGTATCAGTTAATCGTACACCATGGCCTGGCCCATGCGTTGGTGGCCTTACTTTTGCTTGTATCTTTAACTAACATATTTCTGTACTAACGTACTCTGTGTCGTACGGTCTTCAAAGCATCTATAGAATTCACCGGCTGATAGTGTATACTAGTTGCAAGTATGGAGTTTAGCATAATGTTGAAAACGACTTATTCGAAATATAATGATTAAAATCGTTTTATCGGCAAAGCCCATGTGCCATAAACACAGGTGATGTGATGTTGCACGACGCTTCCAGTTAAATAAAGCTTCACAAGATGATAAACAGTGAATGGTGCTTATGTGTATTCCAACTGTAGTCTTTGATTAAAGCAGTATTTATACTTACCACAAACGTAAGAGAACCTAACATCACAAAAGGAGGGAGGGTGGCGTTACTGACCAGCAAACATGATGATGGGGAGGTAACTTCAATCCACTCATGTCTGTAGGGCAGAACATTTTGTTTAATTACGGCTCCTTATGGTTTAGTGGGATGTCACGGACTTAAGATATTATTGTTCATTTATCATGCAAAATACCCCATTAAATCGTGTTACGAAAGTTGAATTGGTTTCACTTCCTACCCAGTAATCCTATTACAAGCAAACTAGACAATTCGATAATATACGAAGCCTAATCAAGACCCTGTGATACCTAAAAAAAATAATAATAATGCAAAAAAAGATGAAAAGGGCTCCAATAGCTTCGATAAAAAGAGGAAGATAGTCAATTGTATATCACGGTACTGTTTTTCGCACTATATTTTATAACCACACATAATCCCATACTCTCAGCTCCTTTCTGAATCGCCTCCATTCGTCAGTTGCATGTCCTCTCATACCTTGTTTACACTTATTCTCTTTAACCTGTAGTGGCATTGGACAATAGCCACACAATCCACAAAGCTGTGAACACGAGACTACTCAGAAAATAGATATTCAATATTTAACTCGGAGAAATACCTAACAACGGAGAAGGCGCGGACAATGAATTGAATGGACTGGAGTTGATCGAACGGCATGGCTCGGCCACGCAGGCGTGGTCCCTCTGAATGTTATCTTATATCTCCTATTCATATTAAATATATTGTTCTTTCTCTAGCCTAACCTTGTTCTACATCATGTATTGGTAATTGGTACGATACAGTGAGTTGGTGTAGTCGATGGTGTGACTTCCACGTAAGATCTTATAGATTAGGCAGTTATATCACGACAAATCTACAAATTTAGGATTAGGTCTATTATTAGAGCAGTACTAATATCATAGTAGACCATAACTCTACAAACCTATAAAAATTCTCTTGCTTAACAAATACCTTAATTAAAGAGAATTATACTGAGTAATCATACTTTAAACATTCCTTCGTGAATAGTGGCTACTCTGCCTCTCGTCCTTTCTTTTACTAGCTCCCTTTTTCAGCCACTTTGAGATATGGAACAAGTGACTTCATTCTGCACCATCCTCAAAGCCTTAGACATTCCAAAGGGACATAAGGTTGCGACATTCATATCTTTTAAATTGTCAACCCAGCTGAGTAATTTACTACAGTGGATATTGTATCATTTGTATCAATTTGATCTTGCCTGTAAACTGGCATGCCTCATGTAACAAACTGTTATTTGAGGATAAATTATTATTATTATTTTCATTACTATTATTATTATAAGGGAGAACATAAGTTGTAACCAAGGAGAGTACACCCTCAAGTCATGTCTATGATAATGGCTTGAATCTTAGTCAATATTGTGATAAATTCGACAGTATTTTCAGTTTACATGAGATTTGCTCGACTGCTTATTCTGATGATTCGCATACATGAGGCACCAAAATGTCCTCTCATCCACAGGTTTAAAGAATAGATGTGTTCCTAATTTCATTGAAAGTGATGTCCGAAGATGTCTCCAGTCGCTTAATTCATCCCGATGTTTGGGACCTGATGGTATCCCAAACCTCCTTTTTAAAAATGTGCTGACGTCCTACATTACCCATCCACAACTATCTTTAACAGATCCTTCTCATCTAATGTTATACCACAAATGTAGAGAAAGATGAAGATAATCCTTGTACCAAATAAAATATCTGGTGTTAAGAATGTGAAATTTAGACCTATGACAATAACTTCACTCTTCCCCAAAATAATGGAAAAATTATTAATGCTTCCACTTCAGCCTGCGATAAAAGATCATATTGATCCGTATCAGTTTGCTTACAGATGCAAAAGAAGCAACTTAGATGCTGTTGCTGTTCTGCATCACAATATAGTGTTCAACTTAGAAAAGGGTAAGAAGTTCGATGCTCTTTTCTGGGCTGTACTTCAGCTTTTAATTCTATACTAAGACAACGTTTACTTAACAAGTTAATCAACGTCAACACTGACAGCTGGATAACCAACTTGCTATGTTCCTACCTCTCTGGAAGGGAACAGTACACTGTGTTTGGAGGAAAGTTTTCAGAGTCTCTACTGTCTCATGAAGGTGTACCACAAGGAGCTGTTCTTTCACCTCTTCTTTCCTCTTTTCTTCTACATGATCTGCCATCTTCCACAGAAAACACTTTTGTGAAATATGCGGATGATCTCACTATATGTATGCCTATCTCTTCTTCTTTACATCTCATAGAAATGAATGGGTTTTTGTCTCGTATTGACTATTGGTCTGTTGGTAATGGTCTCATACTTAATCCGTCTAAATGTCAAGCTGTTAACTTTAGCATGAGACATGAATGGAATCTAAACACCATTTTGAGATCCCATAATGCTTGGAGACTCTTTGATAAACAGTGTCGAAGGTCAATTATCTTGGTGTCACCT